CCCTACACTGCGCGTAAGTACAACAGAAATGTTTCCAAGACGAAGTCCGAATTGTACGTTGGAAGAAACCCAAACGCTCATACTGACTTTGAGCCTCCACAGATTAAAGGCCAACTGGCAACCCTCTTACTCCAGATTTGGAGCTAATGATTTGGACTGGATGTACTTTCACTCTTAAATTACTTTGGAGAATATGCTGTGATTGCTGTTATTAAGAGGGCATTGTTTCTATGGATATTTGAAAGAGAAAAATTAGAGCTACTTCCCTGAGAGATGAAAAACTCGCAACTTGTCAGGCAGCTGATCTATCTCCTTCTCACACACAGGTCGAAGATTTTTTGAGGAAAATACCTCCACTCATTTTTACTTTTCATGAGGATCAAGGAAAAGACATCCAGTTTAATGAAAAGCCTGAGAAAGAGGATACCCAGCTAGCAAAAATGGAAGACTTGTTTAGCAAACTATTATCAGACATGGGCTCAATATTTGACAGAAGTTTCATTTTTTTCAAGCAGATGCAAAAAGAATTTGACCAGTCTTTTCAGATGTATTTCATGTCTGATCTGAACTTGAATGAGTTCCCCAGTATGCCAGCTCTACCTGAGGACACCACCAGAAATGACGGCTCACAGAAAGGCTGGGGTATACCTGGCTTCTTACAGACAGTTTTTGATTTCAGTAAGACGGTGTTTGAAGGTGTCAGTGAGGTGATTACCGAAGTATTTGACGAATACAGAGATAATAGAAGAGATGTGCCAGAACAAACCAAAGGCAAGTGTTAGAAAATGAAAATTAACTGCACTGGCAATGACATCGAACCCCTCAGGACTGCTAAACTCTGGTTGAATTTGCGGTATGTTAGTGTGAGATGCGGTATTAAAACTCTGGAGGCTTTCTTGGTTAAACAGGCATGGGTCAAGGATAACTTTATCAGTGAAATTAAAATGTACAAATCACCTGGAAATCTCAGAGGAATGCTGCAGGGAGACACAGGGGTTCTACACAGCCTGATTTTCACAGCATTTGCAGGAGTTCCTCAGGACTCTTGAATTCATGACAAGATGCATGTCTTCGTAAGGCTGGCTGACAGGCCCGATCTCAGCATTTGTCAGGATATGATTTGTATTATAACATACTGACATGTCACCAGTTCTAAAAAAATAGAGTGATTCTGTGAGATGTCAAGGCATACCGCTGCCCTTGCCAAATGACATTAAGCTCACAGACAGCTGCAAGCCCTGTTCTATGCCACTGCAGCAGTGCAGCGTGCTAATTGAACACAAACCAGCCATCAGGTTTTCCAGTGACCAGAAATATTCTGGGCATAATGTTGGTTTCAGGTGGTAACTCTCAATGGAGGAAAAAACCTATGGTTAACTTTTAGAATACAAATAAACATTATCCTCCATGTCTTACTAGTGCAAATAGAAAAACCGGCATCATTCAAATGCATGCTAGTGCCTGTCGGTAAGGAGATCACAGTCAGCACATGCCACATCTCTGAGTAGCAGGTGACGTAACCATTATATGGTCGTCAGGAAATACGAAGTTAGGTGATTCTTCAACAGTGTTTTTTAATTATTCCTGCATCATGACCCATGTTACCTCAGAAAAAAAGCTATGGTACTGTGCTCACATCTAGCTGTACATGATTACGAAACACCTTGACTTCTCAGGGTAAAAAAAACTTCTCAGAACTTGCATGCTGTCATAATAATGCATAATAATATTAGCAATTGTTTGGCTGTTAGTGGGGAATGCACCACTATGCCTTTATAAGGGAATATACTATAGTGGAATGAATTTCTTGAAAGAAAACATTATTTCTGTCTTCTCCTGACTTCTACTTGTTCATGTTTTATTACTTTTTTTTTGGGGGGGAGGGGTTATAGCAGATATTTGAGATTAAGGGAAAGAAATTATATTCTAGCACACAGAGTAGGTAACAAATGTATATTCATCAAGACCCTCAGCTTAATGGAAGTCTAAAAATACTGTGACTTCATTGTAGATCCTGACAGAAGTGGCATGTTCTCAAAAATTGTGTCAGGGCGCCGCAGGCCGCTGTGCAGGGAGCTTCGGGAGAACTCCTCTGGATGCCTGCAGTATCATGAGAGATGCCAGCAATGTCAAGACAATCTTTTGCATGGTAAATAGCTATTTTCCGATTTATTTCTGTAATGCGTTGATCATTGCTTGGTAGATTCTGAGGCTGTCATTTTCTACCGTGTTGTTTCAATAGTTTTGGGCTTTAACATTCGGTCACTGAGTTTTTACTATAGCTATTCCTCATCCCAGATGATTTCAATCACCTTTCCCCACTGTCTCCACCGAGTGTCAGTATAACTCAGTTGCTAACATACCGCTGGAGGCCTAAAGAGAAGTTCTACACTCCATAGCGAAATACCTACATATTTTGTTGGTTGCCATCCAACAGAGAAGCAAGAGCAGCAGTAATTGGTCCTGCCTGGGTGCAGAAGTGCTGAGCAGAAAGTGAGGAGCAGGTCAGACTCCTGACACTCGCCTCTCCTGCAGACAACCAGATGTAAGGTCAGGTAGCATTCAGCTCCTCACACGGAAAGCAAGCGCTGCAGAGCCTGCAATTCTTTGTTGAACCATATCAGCAAACAGGGCTGACATGAAGGACAAAAAGAGGACTGTTTGTCAGTACATGAGGAGACGGCAAAGCTCTGATATGCACACTCCACGGGCAGCGGGAATAAATTCAGACTCCATCACCTAGAACTGCTCTCAGGACTCCTGCTGCAGTGTAACACATCTGTGTTTCCAGAATTATTTAGGTCTCAAGAGCCACAGAATATACTTAAACCCAAATGTCTTTAGAATATCTCCAGTGTGGTAAATATTAATGATCCAATGACACATTTTTGAAAGATTTGAAAAGAATATCGGACCACTTCCATCTCACTAAAAATAGCTTATAGTCTACAACCGTGTATTACAGATACTAGTTTGTATCTGTGGTTACTGTACTATCAGCCTAAAGGTGTCCCTTGACAGTTTTATTTGACAGAGAAGAAATTGAATTTGTCCATGGTAATTTTTGTACAGGAATAATTTAATGTCCTTGTTTAAAGTCCATATTTTAGTAAAGAAAAAACCCCTCAATCTTCAGTTCCGAATTCATGGCAGATGATACTAGTCACATGTAGTGTCTAGCTATTGTTAGATAAATATTAGGCCTTAACACAACAGGAACACTAACATACATTACGGGCTTTCTTGCAATAACCTATATACTTGGGATGGAATGACAAAGGAATACAAGCAATTAAAACAAAGGATAGCGTATAAGGAAATTATGAAGCTGCTGTGTGGAAAATATACAAGTTCTTATTTAGCATAATAGAAAATCTATTGCCGTGAAATATGATATAAATCTTAAAGTACTTGGTAAGTCATTGTAATACAGCAAATGGGGTAATTAATCCGTTTAATCATTATGAGCCTAAACTAAATCTATCAAAGTATCAAGAACTACTCTTTTTTTTTTAGCATTATTTAAACACCAACCCAAAACATCATTCCCCTTGTGAGATTTTTTTACAGTTTTCCATACTTCACACAGAAAAGATAAGGTACAAGATGTACTACTTTCCTACAACCTTCACGCTGGCTGTCCCTTCTAACAGATTGCCCAAACGTTCCCGAACTGCACATCAAGTTTGATGAAGCCTTTAAGCTGGTTAATCTCTCGGGGGAGCAGTATGAGCAGATTCTGCAGGTGGTTCAGCGTCATACAGAAGACACTTCCTACTTGTTGAACAAAATGAAAGAAAGATTTGGGTGGGTGTCTGAGTTATCCAACGCGACCATTGGACCAGAAAACATTTTCAATATAGTTAAGGTAAGGGTTATCTTCTGAAGAGAACTATTGCACAGCGCTGTCTTTGACCTATGCTTTGCTCATACTTACGCTCTTGGTGATTGTGGATGTTTGTAAACGTGTAATGTTTGGTTTTCACAACACAAAGTTCCTGATCATCTTGAATTTATATATGCTTGATAATCCCTCGATGGGCCGAAACTCCAGAGATTAAAAACTATGTTCTTCTAAATCCTTTTCGTCAGATGGATGGCTGATAGGCTAACCTGAATCACCGTCTGATAGGAGTAAATTGACACTGGCAGCTTTGGCTGGCCTCAGATTACCTTCCCAGATAAATTTGACTGTACCAGTCAGTAACACATCCTCACTGGATGACTGAATATCTAGCAATACGTCTACGTCTCTACCTGTGTATCCCAAAGCTCAAAGGTGGCAAATGTTGTGCAGGTTATTGCAGTGGAAGCTGCATATCTTTAATAGCATCTGCCAATATTCCCAGAAGGATGTCATGATTAACTGTATCTCACACAAAAGAATATATTCAAGTTGTGTGTATCTCACACACAAGAATAAATTCAATCCATTTTCCTGGTCCAGGGACAAATCCTATTCTCCCTTCCAACTCAGAAATCCAATGTACTACTATTACTACAAAACTTTATCTGAAATGATTGATCAGTCCACCAAAAAGCACAAAATCAGGAACAAGGGGACAGCCAATATTTAAGCACATTTTCCCAACCAAGTCTGAGACACTCTAGAAAAATAAAACTACAGAATTAAGTCTGGTTTAGAAAAACACATAGGAATTAATAACTTCAGTCACACAACCTTTGTCTTGAAATTAGTGGGACGCCTCACACACAGGTTTTCATTAGGAGATCAGAAGCTCTTTATACATGTAGTTCATGGTATAAATATTAACATGCAGTTCTTTAATATGGTCTTGCAGTGCCATGTCAGCTCTTCCCACTGCCTACAATAAGCTTTGGCACAAATTCAGACACCCACTGTCTTTTCAGAAGAAAGTAATTTAAAGAAGGTAGACAAGTTTAAAATACTCTTCTATTTAATTCTCTCTTATTAAAGACAGTAGGCACAGTTGGGACAAACAACACTGAAAGTATGCAGTAGTCTGTAGTGTCTAAAGTACTGATTTGCTCTCTTCTAGGTGGTACCTGGGGATGCCTCCAGTAAAAATGAAACCATGGTAGACGTGAATATTCTGACTTCACCTACTTTCACCATTAAAGTTCCTCCCAGCTTAGACCCAAAGAGTGCTGAATTCATCGAATACATAGCTGGGAAAGCACTGCAACTATATAAGCAGAATTTTTAAGTGGTAAGTTCATTCTTTCTCCTTTCGTAGAGAATGCAATTCTTTATAGGAGGTGTTTACATCGCAATAAACTTTAATTGGAACAGGATTCAGTCATGGTATATTTCAGACTGTCTCCTCAGAAAGGACACACTGATTGAGAGACAAACACAAGCATTATGGAAAACAAAAACAAATGCTTAATGTTCTAGCCTCCAAAACACAGACATGATGATATTAAAAGACTTGACTTCTTTTAACTGTGAAACCCTCAATCTTTAAGCAATATCTGGGATGAGGTAATGTGATGATGAATGTTCCTTCAGAAAAGAATTGCCTCCCAACCACAGTGTAGAGCCTTGGCATCAGAAACCATGTCTTTGTGCTCATTAATCATGAATGAACTGGAATTACCACTACTCATTATGGTTTTTGTTTTAGGTGGTGTTTAAGAGGATGCTCCTTGTTATTTTTTACGAGAAAGGAGTGCAAAGTTAGAATCAGCACCAGGAGTTGAAAGAGCTGTCTTGCCATAACATTATCCCATTAGCAGTGCTCTGCTCAGATGAAGCGTTAACAGAGTCTGCAGTTTGACTCGTAGGAACGTGCACAAAAAGATTCTTCTTACGGACTTGTAACCATTCTTGCAGAAAGGGCTCACAGGGGCCTCTCTCCATGCTTAAGAGAGTTCCAGACAGGAAGAGAAGAACCAGGAAGAGAGGCAGGGAAAAACAATGCTTCGTACTCTGCAATCCCATGGGGAATCTCCAGGAAAGACGGGGTGGGTTCAGGCGGCATCACGCTGCTGTGGGACTGGCCAGCCACCCACGGAAAGCCCGGGGGCTCCGGGACGCACAGGTCCAGTGGCCCCCGACTCTTACAGCTGGCTCTACTAGGGGTCAGAGCCGCAAAAGGCGCGAGACCTACATGCAAATCATTGCAGCATCCCTTTGATCTTCAGAGGAGGTACTAGATTTAGGCGTGGCTCCTCTTTAGGTCATGGGTGCCCGACATCCTCACCTCTGCAAATAAAGTGGAGAAACACAACCTGAATACACAGAGAAGTCTCAGGAGGCACACAAAAGAGATTCAACGTTAACAAAGTAGCTGAAGAAAAGAAAATTTCATTATTTTTTACAGACTCTGGTTATTCTTTTGAGGTCAGACTCAAAATTTTTTAGCAGATGAACACTTATTTTTCTAACATCTTTTTCTCAGTCTAAAACCAAAATGTTTAATAATTTTTTTTCTCCTAGGAAAGAAGAAGGGTGAAATCTTTCTTCCTGAAATCCAGTATACACTCCTTAGATGAAATACCCCTAAGCTCAATGTACAGCTAATTGTTAAATGACTGTGGTTAAAACAGATGCATATAAATAAAATTTCGCTTAGTAAATATTGTGACATACGAGCTAGCAAATGAAAACTGCAGAAAACTTTTAATTAAAAACCAAATTCAAATCCATTTTAATGTTAATTTATTTAAATAAAATATTATTTATGTTGTAAATTAGGTAATCTTGCTAACCAGGTTATGCAAAGATTTAAGGAAATAGTCAGCTGTAAGCATACAAAGAATTCCTATCTGCCCACTTAAATTGAAGCACATTCTTAAGCCTTTTCAAGCTTGGTCCCTACAGATGTTGAACATTCAGCTAAATCTGAATCAACCAGATTTCCATATGCATGTAGCATATTATTTTCCAATGAAAATGTTCCATTTCTTCTTCCAGTTGCTTTTGATGTTTATTATGTACATTAAATGACTTTTCTGAATATGCACTAATGAGTAAATCTTCTGCCTTTGGCATTTCTTACTTGTAGTTCGCCTCTGGAGTCATAATTAGCAGGGAATCCTTTATCAGAAAAGATGTTTGTTTTTTCCTAGATTATACACATTAGCTTGCAATGGTATTTGCAAATTATAGTAAAGGTTAAGAACTGATATATATCTCAGTTAGAAGCAGAGCTCTAGGTGATTTGGTTTCATTTGCTGTTCTGGCATTTCCATGCATTTCTTGCACACAGTCATACTCACCATTTCCAACTGTATCTCTGCTAAATAAACTGTATTCATTTCAAAGTGCACAAAACCATCTACAGTAGATATGAGTGTGCAAAAATAACCATACCCTAACTATACCTTACCTTTTCCTTTACTTGTATACATTCAAGTAAGTATACTCATTTATGCAAGAAAAAGGCCATTTCATTGTTTTAATTAGTGGGAAAGAGATGTTTTCCTGCCTGCGTAAGGAGAAGTAGCACTTTCTAGTCCACAGTCCCCTGTTCCATTCAACCTCCCTTACATATGCCTATATTACAGGCTCCTAATCATGAGAGATCAGCAGTCATAACTCCTATAATCACACCAGTCATCATTAAGTCGGGCTTTATCTAAGTGATAAGTGACTCCTAGAAAATGCTTAACTTGTAAGATACAGTTTGATGAGCAGGGAGAAGTATACCTAGAAAATTTCCAGAGGACACCACGTCAGGAGCAAAAAAGGAAGAATCAGTGTGGTTCGGAGCACAGAGAAGTGGCATTCCTCAGGTGTTGGTACTGGGACCGGCGCTGTTTAACATAGAATCATAGAATGCTTTGGGTTGGAAGGGACCTTGAAGATCATCTGGTTCCAACCCCTCTGCCATAAGCAGGGACATCTTCCACTAGACCAGGTTGCTCAGAGCTCCATCCAACCTGGCCTTGAACACTGCCAGGGAGGGGGCAGCCACAGCTC